AGTGGCTCAAAACCACAAAGGTTTGTTTCTTGCTCAGCTATCTGGCCACGATGGGTTGGCAGCAGGATTCTGTTCTTCACAGTTAGTTACTCAGGAACCGAACGGAAAGAGAAGCAGTGATCTGGAACTTTGTTAGTTGTAATGGCAGAGGGAAATAAGCCTTGAAGGGTCTTGCAGAGGATCATTAAATGCTCCAACTCAGAAACGCTGTCACCTCCACGCACAATTCACTGACCTAAACTAGTCACAGGCTCCCTACCTTCCCACAGCACCACCCATGAAGGGGCCAGAAACTGCCTGGGAGGTGGAGAGCAGGAAATATTTGGCAAATGGAGCTAATGACTATCATATTCCATTTCCTTGATTTTGAGCTTTTGCAATTTAAGTAATAAAATGCAATTTTGCTTATAACTTTTTCTACATTTACAAAATACAATTTTCCTCATAACAGCCCTATATGAGAATGATGCATAATGAGATTAAATACTTGAGTAGGGCCAAATAGAAAAGTCAGAGGTGGAAATGGAAAGATGATTCAGATCTCTATAACACTGGTACAGGATGAAGCTCATTTATTCCATATTTGTGGGAAAAAAGAACAATTACATTCTAAAATAAAATCACTGCTACAAGTTTTAATAGGGCTCAAAGACAAGATGTAAAAATTGTTTGTGTCAGGGTTTTGGCAAATATTCTGGTGACACACAGAAGGGACATCTGGGCTAGCAATTCTAGATAGAAAACCACCTGAACTGTGGAAAACTACACCCTAATATCTCACACTTTAGGCATGAGGCCAGAAGTAGCATCTGGAGTCTTACCTGGAGAACTGCTGATTCTAACCGAGGAAAAGAAAAAATGTTTCCTTTTACCGTCTTAGGTTCTCTGGCTGGGACCCTGGAAATTAAATTGACAAAAGACAAATAAATAAGAGAAAAAACAGTTTTAATCCTGTAAGTATGAATGGAAATTTCATAAAGAAATGAGACTCTAGGAGACCAGATGACTGAGGTTTATATACTATTTTAGGCTAAACAAAGGAAAAGGGGCTTCGGAGTAGGGGAGGCAAGTCACAGGAATGCAAGGGGAGGAAACGCGTATTAAGGGTTGTCTTGTTATGTAGAAAAGAGTCTCTCAGGCGGTAACAGTTATCTCTGGGAGTAGCGCTCTTTCTGGTACTTCCAGGAGCCACCATTTACATTCCTTTATAAATGTAAATTTCCTTTCCTAAAGGGGAAATTTATACTCTATTTTTAGGCAGGGGGAGGTGAAGACCTTTTTCTGCATCTCCTGGTCCTCAGTTGCCTTTAGCTCAAAATAATCCAAAGAGGGCTTCTCTGGTGGCGCAGTGGTTGAGAGTGCGCCTGCCGATTCAGGGGACACGGGTTCGTGCCCCGGTCCGGGAGAATCCCACATGCCGCGGAGCGGCTGGGCCCGTGAGCCATGGCCGCTGAGGCCACAACAGTGAGGGGCCTGTGTACCGCAAAAAAAAAAAAAAAAATCCAAAGAAGTGTATTTTGGGGGTCACATATTCTGGTACCCTTCATTGACTATACAAAAATACCATCTCTAATGTTTTAACAAGAAAATAAAATTGGTTATTCATTAGTGAATATTAATAAAATTATCAATTCATTATTACACAGTATTTGGCTTCCAGGAGCATTAGCAACTAATCAGGAAAATGGGTAGTGTTAAATTAATTAAACAAGGAGGCCCTTAGACTGAGGTGGCTTTAACACCTTAGTAGACTAAGTAAACAAACCAAAACCTAAATCTGTAGTGCCCTAAGGTTAAGAAATGAAAACTTAAGGACAACCAACCACAAAGCCAAAGAGGCTTCCCCCAATAAGGTAACTGTTTAACCTGTAGCCAATCAAATCATTTTCTTGCTTGGCTTTCACATCTTCTCTATAAAATCTTGCCTCTAGCTGCACTCCTAACCACTTCCGGTTTGGTGCTGAACAATTCCCATCAGTTTTGGCTCAAACTCTTAAAATGTGTAACACGCCTCAATTCATCTTGTAACAGTTCCAGTCCAGTGGTTCATTAGCCTAAATCTCAAATGGTTTATGTCCTCACTTTATATTTTATAAGGCCTCCTGTGACCTAACCACCCACAGCCTTGTGACCCATCTTGAGTATAATTTCCCGATAGTGACTACTATCAAATAGTTCAAGTCTTTAAAATATAAAGTGAAATAAAAAGGAGCTCAACTTAATGAAGTATGGAGTGTTGCATCCACTTGATTCTTTTGGACATTATGCAGTGATCCCGCATGTTGAGTATATGTACATTTGTACTACATTTAGCTATGCTTCAGAGATGCAAAAAGCAGAAATAAATAATTCTAAAGAAGTAAACTGCTGGCTTTATTCCTAATCAACTGTGGCAGGATGTGGAATGGTATGGTTTTCAAATATAACTCCAAGGACTGTATTAGCACCAAACATATACATATTCTTCAGGTCAGCCTAACTGACCTTGTTTATCATATGCCTGTGAATTACAGTCTATTATAATAAAAGGATGTAGCAAAGTCATGATGCTCTCAAAGCCTGGACATGAAGTTTGCAACTGCTTAAAAAGAAGGTCAAAATGCTATACATAATTACAAGTGTTTTAGACTTCCAAACTTAAAATTTCTCATGTCAACAGTTCTTGTTGCCAAAAGTTTTCACATTTGTGAGAGCAAAGCCCTTGATGATCTGGGGTCTGTATGTTTGAGATACTGCAATACATGGTACTATATTACTGATGAACAGATTCAAAAATAACTTAATTGTATTTAAAACTCAGCCATCAAATCGCTCCATCAAAAGAAAAGGCCAAAAGACATGTAGTAGAATGTTTATAGTAGCACTATCTGTAATAGCTCCAAACTGAAAACTACCCTAATGTTCATCAGAAGGATGAATTCAAAGGTATATTTACAGAATGAAATAACATGAATAATCTACAACCATATGCAACAGTATGGAAGAATCTCATAAGTATAAAGTTGAATAAACAGCCAAACACAAAAGAGTGTATACTTCGTAATTCTATATATATCAAGTCCAAAAACAGGCAAAACTAATCTATGTTGTTGAAAGTCATGATAGACAATGACTGGAAGGCAGTATGATGGAGTCCCTGGGTGTTTATAATGTTCTGTTTCTTGATCTGGGTGGTGGATACACAGGTGTGTTCAGATTGTGAAAATTCACTGAGCTGTATACACTTGGGATATATGCACTTATATATAGAGAGACACACACACACATAACAGGGTGGGAGAGGGCTTTCTGTAAATAAGATTGCCTTGTCTGATGGTTCAGATATGCATGTGTATGTGTGCCTGTGTGTATGTGTGTGTGTGTGTGTATATATATATATATATATATATATATATATATATATATGGCTTCAATAAAATGATTAAAGAACAGAAAATTCCAGGAAGCCCATGAAAATTGAATCACTCTCTAAACAGAATGCTCAATGAACTGGTTTCAGAACAGTTGTCCGGGGAACGGGATACCTAATATGTCAAAACAAGCTAGTAATTTATCTTTAAAATCTCTGCTTTTCTCTACCTCCAGTGATATCACCATAGTTTAAAACAGGTCATCTCCCACCTTGCAGTTCCTCTGATTTACTCTCCTAACCAGTCTCCCAATAACCTGTTCTACCTATTCACCTACACATTAATCAAAGCAGTTTAAAGTCTAAACCAGATCCTTTTTCTCCTTTGCATAAAATGCCTCAATAGAGTCTCATTATATTTAAAATGTAAAGCAAATTCCAAGTCTTGGCTACATCCTCTGGCCTCTGTCTACCTCATCTCCTTCTGTCATGCTGCTCTCTCCCTCCCTCTAAACTAGACCCACACTGGCCTTTCTGCTCTTCCAAAATGTCAAGCTGTCCCACCTCAGGACATTTGCTCTGCTGTCCCCTCTGCCCAGAACAATCATCACTTTCCAGGTGCCGTGGCTGACTGATCTTCTCACTTTTTGTTTAAACGTTATTAAGTTCTTATAAAAACAACCCTCTCTAGCTAAACCTCAACCTCCTATTATCCTCTGTATCCACATCTGTTTATTTCCTTCCTTGACATGATCTGTTATTATGTCATTTGCTTGTTTACCTCTTTGTGTTCTCCCTCTTCCTCCTCTTTAGACTGGAAGCTTTATGAAGGCATCTATCATGTCTATTTGTCAAGATTTATCTCCAGTGCCTGGCACACAAAAGGTCCTCCCTAAACACACAGAAATACTTGTGGAATAAATGAATCAACGTTCTCAAGGGGAGTCTCCTGGCTGTCCACTGATTAGGACTCCGCGCTTCCACTGCAGGGGGCAGGGGTTCCATCCCTGGTGGGGGAACTAAGAGCTCGCATGCCACGCGGTGCAGCCCACCCACCCCACAAATAAATAAATAAATAAATAAATAAAAAGTGAAAAAACCCCACACATTCTCAAGGGATCACGAGATGCCTGTTCAGTCACGAAGAACGGTGCACTGTGAGTTTTTCAAAGAATCGCAATGAAACCAGATGTCTTTCATTACCTCCGCCCAGGCAAAGTGTTGGCATTCCGTTCTAGCTTTCCTAGTTGTCACTACCGCTCCACTGCCCCAAGCGACACACCGCCTCTCCTCAACCCCCTGGCGAGGTACCAAATTTCTCGACCTCACCCACCGCAGAGGCGCTCCCTCATTGGCCAGAGCGCCACGGCCTTCGGAAGGGCGGACATCCCCGCGAGCCACCACTGGCCCAAGTCGACGTCGCTCTGCGGTGCGCCGCTGAAAGTCAGCCAAGTCCAACTGCCCTTGCGGGGAGGCTCGGTCCCGTCAGAACCTGTGATTGGCTGCGACTGAGAGCCCGGGGGGCGGGCGCGCTTCGCTGCTGAGCGAGGATTGGTCGGAGCTGCCATCAGTCACCGGGAACAGACGTGCCCCTCTCCATCTGGCAGCTGCCCGAGAAAAATTCTCGAGAATTTCCAGCAGATGAGCCAGTGGCTGTTCTAACTGCTTGCTCCAGAGACTGGAAACATCGGAGAAGGCAGTCTTATTTACAGAAAACCCCTCTTCCGCCCTCCGTTAGCTAATTAAAAATTTTCCAGGGACATTGCCATCACGAGGTAAGAGCCTGGAGAGTGTACTTCATTTATTTAACCGTTTATGATACTTACGGATGGGGGCACAGCCCACTGCTCCCGGTCCGCGGAATGGAGGGTAAACGGAGGAGGTTTCCCCAGGGAGGGGAGGGGAGGGGAGGGGAGGGGAGGGGAAATATCTGTTTAGTTCCCCAGCCCCTTCAGTCCGCGCCCGGCGGTCAGTGCCTGGGTTCTCTGTGCGCAGCTTGCTTTCTTTTCGAGTTCTGGAGCAGCATGTCCGGGCGGGGCCCACCTTGGCTGAGCCACCGGCTGCCGGCATTTCCTGCGGAGCCTTCGCGCTCGGCCTGAACTTGACTGCGAACTGGAGGCTCCTGCCGAGCGAGGGTGCTGGGCCGGGCTGGAAGGAGGGAGGGGAACATGGAAGGGTCGATGGACGGGAAGCAGGGGCCGCCCGCCCTCGCTTCCCTTTAGCGAGGCCCCGAGTCGCCTAGCCCCAACCCCCGGACGCGAGGATGCTGCGGGGGTCAGCGCCTTGTCGCCGCTGCAGCTGCGGCCGGGCCGAGGGAGACGTGGCGGTGGCCGGAATCTGTCCGCGGAGACTGTGGTTGGGAGGCGGGGTCTGGGCGGCGGAAGGTGCGCGAGGGAACCCAACCGGCAGCATTGCCGCGCGCTGCGCCGGCGGGAGGCTGCGCTTGCTGCGGTGTATCGCCCTGGGTCGCTCAGCTGTCCCGGCCAGCGAGCCAAGCCCAGGACCCCGAACTGTCCAAGGGTGAGCTTTTCAGGGGATCGGAAGGGAGAAGGGTGGA